GAAAATGGTCTGTGTCGCTGTCCGGCCCTCTCATAGTTCTTACACTTATTATGCTGCTAGAATGTCTCCCATCAATCAATACGTGATCTATTTGATTATTTGTTCTTCCATCGTTTGATCTGCATGTTGCCTTGTGGATCTTTTTTCTAGCGAACTGGGTGCTTTTGATGGTTAAGTTGCAGTCTGTCGCAAAATCGACCAAACGTGATCCATTATCGTTTGTAACTTCATGTAGACTATATCTTCCTGCCACCGGTATTACGTAGTCTTCTGTGCCTACATTTGCATTTAGATCACCTAGTATTATTTTAATATCGTGTTTAGGAGCTTCTGTGTAGAGTTGATTTAGAGAGTCGTAGAATTCATTTTTATCATCCTCTAATGCGTCTTCAGTTGGTGCATACACTGAAAATATAGTTAAATTGGACCATTTACCTCTTAATCTTATGATGCAGATTCGTTCGTTTATTGGTTTAAAGTCTAATAACTCTGATTGTAGTCTTTCATGTATTACAAAGCCACATCCTCTTTCATGTCGAGTTTCATGTCCAGACCACAGTACTAATGACTTCTACATGTGTATTGTTCCAGATCCTGTCCATCTCACCTCCTGAATGGCTACTACATAATAGTTCAAGTTTTCTAGTTGTTTTATCGCTGTCGTGGCAATTCCAGGTCTGTACCAACTTAGTACATTCCATGTTCCTAATAGAATATCTTTGTCCGTAGCTTTAGTCGTTTGTTTTTATAATCTGTCCTATTCCGAGGCAATAATATTCGTTTCATAGCAATATTTTTTTTACTTGTATGGGTCGCTGGTCCGTAGCAAAACCTCCTTTTCGGAGGACCATGTTCTCCCTTCCTATTTCGCCCTGACCCTGCCTTCCATTGGGGTTGGTTACCCAATCTTCAACAAGGTTGCTCCGGTTTCCGGGGTCCACCCGTATGGTCAAGACCACACTTCGTGGAGGTGAGGATAGGAATTGAGTAGGAGAGGCCAGAGATGCTAACTGGAAACAGCATCTTATAATGCGCATCACTACTTCTTTGAACCCCTCACATCGTATGAAGTAATATTCATATAACGCTGTTTGTGATGGTCTGATCTTTCCCGAGGAATCTTAGCACCTTCTGCTCCAACCCTGTTCCAGCCGCTACCTTGGTCGGGAGTATTGGAGCTGCTGGAGACTGAGGGCCGTTCGGTAGTTTCGTCTTTCATGGAAAATAACTTGGGACTTTTAATCTTAAAAAACGCCACGCTTTGCTAGGTGTGTTGGCGAGTTGGTTTGGATCCGAAGGAAAGAAATGGTGGTGCGGAGGGAAGAAAAATGGAAAGGATGATGGAGAAGAACTCCATGTTCCATGAGAGAAGATATTTTGGGTTTGGCGATGGTTTTCCCTGGGATGAACTCGCGTGGGCACGTTTGCTATTTCTGAAGTAGATATATAACTTCGCGAGATCGCAGAGACGTATCAGCGGCTACACAATAGCTCCGTTTTTAAGATAACCTTGAATTAAATCAAAATTATGCTTAAAAATTTCGAGGTAATATTTAAAGACAAGTGCAGCAATGCTACTGTATCAAAAATGAAAACCAAAAAGATTATTTACCTTATATTAAAAATGTGATGGATTTAACTGACAAATCTTTAGTGATTTGTGATGAAACATCAACCTTCAAATTAACGATGGATAAAAGAAAGTCTAAGATCGGCAAATGATCCAAGAGAAGAATTGTCAGTTTACACTGGAGCAACAAAATATATTACACTCGGTTTAACCGTGACCTCGTTTAATGCTAAAGATCATTCGTTGCAGAACATACTATCACTCAAAACAGCCACCGAAGACAAAGTGTATAAATATCGAAAATTTCTACTTCATAATTAAAAACATCAACCGTTAAAGTTTAAATGCCGCGATACTTTCAAAATTGCGTTTGGGAAACTATTATGATGATCAACTAATATTCTTCTTACATACAAGAAATTACTTACTAAGACGGCGGTATTCACAAAAAATAAATTCTAAAACGTATATACGAACATCAGAAAAATATAAGTTCTGAAAGTTGCTCTCTAGCAACTCCACAAACTTACTAGTCAAAATTGTTGCCTTAATGTATCTATGATATTTGTGCAAAATAAAAAGTAACAGTCACAATACAATAACAAGCAAGCTAAATTAAAAAACTAGCAAATGCCAAGCTTGCATGATCAATAATACCTGTGTATAAGATTCGTACATAGAATTGGGCAAAGAGCCCAATTCTGCCTCCACGAAATATCGCTGCATCTGCTGTTAATGGTGCGAAAAATAAAGAAATATATTATTAGTTTTTCAAATATCTAAATATGCTGTACAACAAATTAAATAATTACTCAAGCGCTTCATATAAACAATATAATGACAAACTGATAGTTATAGATATAGATATACAAGAAAAACATATGCATTTTAATAGTATAAAGATTTTTTTAACCCAGAAGGGAAAAGTCTGAATATAACAGCAGGAATTGAAAAACAAAATGCATGACCACTTGTACAAATAATTTGCTTCCACTTATTGTACACGTTCTTGGCCTGTTCTATTCGTGTTTGTATTTTTATATCTGGATCTACTTTACCATTTACTACTACCTCTAAGTATCTGAATTTGTGAGCATGTTCTAACTGCGGCTATTTAGGTCAATGCGACAGTTTTCATCGATTTTGCTAATAACCAGTCCCATTGCTTCACTTGCATTATTAACTCTGTCTAGTATATTTTGCAAGTATTTTATTCTTTCTCTTATCAGAACGGTTTAGTCTGCATATCTGATAATGTTAATATATGTATCATTTATTTTTAATATTAGCGTAGTGTAGTGCTTGTTTGTCAGGGTCAGGGGTGTTTGGGGTGTATTATAGAGGTAGTACCTTTTATCGGAACGACCACATCGAGCGTCATAGATGGGAGATGGTTCTTGATAACTGGTCCTCATAAGACACCTAACTCTCACTTATGGCTCCACGTGCCACACCCTGGGCAACTGCATTGGTCTGCAGGCCAAACTAAGTGAGGGTAGCCAAATATGGCAAAAAACCACCGAGCGATTTCCGGTATAAGCAATCCCCCACCTACTGGCTAACGGCTTCGGGCGGACGAGCTGGTTAGTGGAAGGGCACTATTTGTCCTGAGATCGAGAAATCGGTCTCAAAGGCGGATGAACCAGGAAAATGGTCAACGACATAGGGCTACAGAAGGCCACGGGAAACCACTGTAGTAAAGGCTCACAAGAGCATCACTAGTACAATCATCATGGCTATCAATAACCAAATGAGTATTTTGCTTTAAAGGCGATTAAAAGTTAATACAGAAAGAAATATTTGGTAAATTAAATCTAATATTTTACGATCTTTATTTTAATATTAGTGCACATAACACGTACCCTACTAGCAATCAAGTAACTCTAAAATGTCTCCCTCCTCTGGCATTCATAACACCCGGGAATGCTTGTATCCCAAAATATATCTCTTGTACACTCATTTCGTCGACTTTCCACTCCTTAAGTAAAATCAATTCTACTGCAAAAATATTATTTATATTATTTCATAAAGTTTCCAGAGAACTGAAACTGGAAAATCTTTGAATTACTTTGGATCGCACGGTGTCATTCAAAGAACATCGTTTGAAACTTAAGGGCAAACTGAAGGCCAAAAACAATATTCTTCGCAAGCTTGCAAACGTGACTGGGACGACGCGACGTACATCACTCCATCCTAAGAACGTCGACGCTTGCACTCGGTATTTCTGCTTCCGAATATGTCTCACCATTAGGAAAGCATCAGCACACGCTAGATACGTGGATGTAGCTACGAATGAGTAAGCAAGAATCATCAGTGGATGTGTGATACATAATCGTAAGTATCACTCCACCTGATATCCGAAGAGAAGTAGCTAGAGATGTGGAATAAAAGAAACCAACTCTAGATTCGCGACACCCACTACACGGTTACCAGTCTATCGCACAAAAGCTCAAATCGAGAAAAAGTTTTCTGGTCAGATCAACAAATCTCGCATACAGCAGAAACAATGCGTCTTGCCAAATGAAAAAAAACTTTTGTTCACTATCTGGATCCTCAAGAGAAACTTTCGTCTATTATCCACGTTCCTTACCCTTTGTGGAGGACTCGTAATCATCTGCGAGTCGAAATGTCTAAGTGTAAAACCAATATGGAGAAATGGGGACTGTTACCTGCTGACATCGATGAATCCTCATCATCATACACCTCATCTATGAATGTGGGGCGGTACAAGATTCAACACACCTAATTAGTTATCCTCTGTTGGAGAAATTTTACACCAACCAGACTCTTTTCTGGATGAACAAGATTTAATTGTTTGAACTGGGCACATAAAGTAGTGGAAGTAATTTCAGAAATATACCAAGGTGAACAAATACTGCATGGTTTAGAGGAGTTTCCTATAGCTTTATCAATAGGCACAATTGACCACAATAAATTATAGTCTAAGCGGGTCCGTGTTATATAAGGAATATTGCAATTTCAATTTTCTCCAGTGTACATGTCGCTATCAATTATAAAATGAATGATAGCCAAAGCTCTAAAGTCAATACTAAAACTCATTATAGTAAAACAAGCCAGTTGATAATACGAACAGCATCCATTATTTTTTAAATTGTAAGACTTTGTAGCAAGCAGTCTGCCAATCCAAAAAGCAACTAAGACTGACACGTCGCACAATAATGATGGATTAGGCATGGAACTATATTAGTATGTAAAAATACAGTTGCATCAAAATATTATTAGTAATTGTTTTTAAGATTTTAAAAATACTTTATTTTTATCTCGAAACTCAGTTTGTCATTTTTAACACTAAAAAATGAAAGGTTAATTCTCCTACCTTTCATTTTTTTAGGCAAATATTTAAAATGAAGCCAAAATTGTGAAGCAATAATTTTTAAAAAGTATTTTTAGTGTAATAAAAGCAGGTTACCTGTACAAATTTACAAAATTCTTCACAGATACTCAACAACTTTATTATAGTACTAAGTATTGGAGGTATGGTCAGCATGCAATCCTTTAAACAACTATTTAAGAAATCCCAATGGCACGAGAGAATCTCATCTACATTTTGAACCTGAAAATAATAACATTATATAACTAATACACAGCTGCCACAAGCTAATACAAAATACCCAAGGAACTTAATGAAATCTTGTGAACTTCTTTAACTTGATGAAATGATGAATTAATAAAAAGTGATATGGCTTTTTGTAGTAATTTTTGAACATTTGAACTTTAAACTAATATGTGTCCTAAATAGGCAGTCTTCTTCTTTTATTTATTTAAGTACATCCTGGAAGCCCACTCTTCTTAATACTCCCTCATTCCTAAATTCCTCCTTCTGACTCTAGTCATTCCTAGATATTCTAAGCATTCGGCACAGGCACCACGTTTCAAAACTCGCGATCAGTTAGAAATTTACGAAGTTTCAAAAAAAGCTTTTCTGGCTTGTTCTACTCTGCTCTTTATTTCAGTTTTAGGGTCAATTCTATAGTTTAGCAGACAACCCAAGTATTTAAACTGCTTGACTTGTTCTATTTCTTCTCCCACTTCATATACTTTTGCATTTGGGTGATTATGTCTACCTATAATCATTGTTTTGTCTTCTTGATATTTATTTTCAAACCCAAGCTTCACTTGCAATAGTTTTTTTGGTGAGGAGAAGGAATTCTTCATAAGACCCTCAAATCGCAGAACCACAAGAAAATTGGGTACTGCGCTCTCTCCTAGTGTGTGGGATTCAGTCTGCTCACCCGATCCAGACACCCGTGAAGTCGAACAAATCGATTTTGAGAACATGACTGCCTACCCACTAAAACCCCCTCATTTCCAGCCACTGGCAGCCGGCACGTGTTCTTAACAAACGTTACTTCGGCTGCCCCGCTGCTGACCCTCTCTCTACTCCATGTCAGTAATGCCGACAGTGAGGAGTACTTCAACCTTTGATTTATATTACTTGATTTATTCTTATAATTTGTTCCATACAATGAGGAATAAAAGTCTTGCAATCTTCTGTCACTCCCTCATTTCCCATCTTCTCTCTCTCTCTCTCTCTCTCTCTCTCTCTCTCTCTCTCTCTCTCTCTCTCTCTATCTATCTATCTCTCTCTCTATCTATCTCTCTCTCTTTCTCTCTCTCTCTCTCTCTCTCTCTAGTGTTTCTTTTTTTTTATTTATGTTATTAGGTCTGCTATCACGTAAAAGTTCTCTGCGTTTTGCATATTTTCTGGTGTCTCTCCTAGCCTTGTTCTCCTATCTTGTTTATCGTGAAAAACGTTACAATGGAATACGCAATGCTCAGCGTTGTCGTGCACTCTGCATTCTATATATAAATCGTCTTCAGTTTTCCTTATGCATAAGATCTAAATGAGCCGTCCAGTCAGGAATTGTATAAAAAAAGGAAATTGTTCTTTTAAACCTACTTTTATACCACCCTTACACATCTGGAATGAGCGTCTTTGTCCATTGTGCTTTTTCTGTCTGTGCCTCCCATTCTTGTTGCCATTCGTTAAGCATTTGTTCTCTTACTTCGGCTTTCACCCGTATTAGGTGGCCGTTATCATTATTGTATAAGATCTTACGTTCTTTCGCTATGAGGTGAATGCGGAGCGTACCCACAATCACCTGTAGGGCTATCGTCGATCACATATCGGCGATCCGCACATGTAGTCCGGTCATCGAGCAAAAAGACAAAAGAGGGAATCTAATTCTTATGAAAAGGAGACCAAAAAAGTTGCCTCTGATGGCGGACATATCCGAAAATGCGAATGCGGCAAATTTAAATTTTCCGCCACTTATTAACAGTAGCTATATAATATTTTTCAGAATGTGTCTTAGACGAGAAAGTTTTAATTAATTATTATAGTCTAAAATGCGACACAATTGTTAAAAAACTTCAATATAAATAAAATTCCATGTGACATTTGGGACAAACAATAACATAACCCAACTAAATTTGATGTCAAACAAGGAGAGAGACTCTCTTTCCTTGTTTAATGTGGCCTCTAAAGATCACACTTCCTGTCTAACAATATTTTTGCCCCTACTACCTTTACATTCCCTCTTTTATCTTTTTGCTCGATGAGTCCGGTACGCACTTATTACCTTCACTCTGCATAATGCCTGGGGTCGGGAACTGGATCTATTTAAATTTCTGTGGGTAGGACTGGATGGGAAATCTCCGAACACAAACAAAAAAAAACTGCTTCAATGATCTGGAACGTTGATCAGATCAAGCCGGAGACAAACGTAGGTAAGGAATAAACAAATCGGCTGTACATTTTTACAAAACTGGAACAACTGCACGTAACGTAACACTTACTGCACAATTAACTGCAAAACTACTAATCTTCCATAACGTAAGACGAAAAACAAAGAAAAATTTCAAATTAGACGAAAAATTTGGACATAACGTTGAAGACCACCGCTTTTAACCGCGGCTCCAACGAAAGTGATGAAATTATCTTTAAAATTAATTCACATAACTTGGAATAACAAACACTTGACAGGAATTAAAACGCTAAGTTTTTCCAACGCAGTACATCGGGCGGCTTAAATCAAAGAATTATCGAGAGGAAAATTCGCAGCTGCGAAATAAATAGACAACTCTAAAATGGTTCACATTAACATCCAGCAATGCAAATAAAATGATTGAAAACACTTTTGGGTATTTTAAATTTTACGATAGCAAACTGAAATACACTGAAATTATTCTTCGTTACTTTAATACATATATGAGAGGATTTCAATATATTACATATACGAGGGGATTCCAATATATACCAAAGAATCAATGAAATTGCAAATGCTACAGTACTAATACAATTCATTTGTTCATTTATTGGTATAAGTAAAAAATATCACGTCACGACATTTTTCTTAATCAACAATATGTAGTATGTGATGAATAACTTCTTGTTGTAATGTGAAAGCTCTTGTATAATTCACTATATTCATAGAATTTTGTACAATTTTGCAGTGAAGTTTAAAAAAACAAATACTGGGTAATTTTAAATTTCTAATTTCTTATACATTTCTAATTTAAAATATATAAAAAAGTTTTTTTGTTAGAAAAACCGAGGACTTTAAGCGAAACTTTTCGTTACGCCCCTTAGTGCTAAGCAGTTCTTTAGACAAAAAGTTTGGTATACAATAAAACATAATCAACTCAAAAAAATCTCTGAATCTCCTACTATGGTAGATGGAATGTTTGCTGTAGCGAAGACAAAAAGAATAAACTTGTGTTTTGTTAGCTATCCTTACTTTCTTATACTCACTTTGCCTATTTTGTTTAAAAACGCACACCAATGCGGCTCTATCACTTCCACCATCATATGGTACTCCAAGTTTTGTATACAATGTAACATCCTCTGTCTCAAAGCGAAAGCTGCTCTGTAGTGCTGCGCGTCTTCAAACTGAAACTTTTTAGCCACCTTATTTGATTTCCACACTTGACAGATCATTCTTTCGATGTATTTACAGTAAAACAGGTGACGGAAAATCATTTGGTAACACGCTAGCGCCTTCCTGTTTAAGATTAGAGAAAGAGGCCAGTGAACTTCGTACCCAAAAGAGAACGATTGGATCATAAGTAGTTTTTCTTGTTCTGCTGCAGACCAATATTCTAAAAAGTTTATAATTGATTAGTTATATAAAAACCATTACAATAAACAATGTCACCTTGTTCTGAGTTTGTCTGAATGCTCAGAATCTTAAACATCTGGAACTGTAGATCATATGGTAGCAATTCAGTTCTTAAATCATCTTTGTAAGGATCGTTTATGGCACTAGATAATCGTAATGCTAATTCCATAAGAGATTCTATACAAGTCTGATTAACGTCCATAGAATATCTCCCCAACTCCTTTTCACACAAGGTGAGAAAAGTGACAATAAAATCCCCCTGATCTAGGAGAAAATAGTGTTTTACAGATCTTAGCCTTCCTATGAGATCCTTCTCTTTTATTACTAAGTTTAGAAGAGTCTGACTTGCGAACATGTAAGCTTTTTCTATGGCTTCGATATAGTGCTTCTCTTCTATTTTGTACTGAATGGGCAAAACTTTATTTTTCACTGGTTTACCTACAAGAAAATAGAAGTAGAAATTTATTACAATTATTGGTTTAAGGTTTTTACCACACTGTCGTATAACATTCAAATATTTTCCGGCTTTGAGTATTATATCGGCAACTGGCTCCAGGAATTTTGGTATTCTTTCCCTTCGGACTGCATATTTCTTTTCCCAATAATCGGCAGAATAATTAACTGGCATATCTTCCCTTTGTACAAGTTCGTTGTCTTCGACTAGAAACTAAATAAACTGTTAGCGAGAACGGACAAGTTATTGAAATTGTGTACGAACAAACTGTGTGCATGACAAATTCAGAATTTACTGCTGTATACTTTTCAATTGCTAAAACAAGAACCAAAAAAAGCTTTTCTATTCGTGGGACGAGTTTAAACAGCAGAATTTTGCTGGTATGAAATATCAGTTTGGATGTCAGGGAGAACACGTCCCTTTCAGCTCCGTCCCTTTTTTAAAAGAAAACAGTGGACTACTGAGATGTATTCGTGTAAACTAATTAATTTTTAAGGTACACTTTAAAAAGTCATTTATAATACAAAAAAAATAATTTGGTCACAAAAAAACGCACGGCATGAATCGCGTTGGTGGCCACAGAACAGAAAATGTGTCGGTTGAACTTAAAAAAATAATATTGATCTAATTGAGAAACAATATAATTATGAACCTAGATAACTAACATAATTATTAAATGGTAACAACATCAAGAAAACAAACTAACTACCTAATTTTCAATGTCTTCATGAAAACGTCTAAAACAATTTTCTAAGCACAATCCCGGATGTTTAGGGCACTCCGCACAATAAAACAATGAGTCCTGTCTTTCTTTTTTAGTTTGTCAGCAATATTTACACCCTCGTCGTTTTGTACTACCATTAGCTGATTTAGGGCAATGGGATGGCAAATGAAACGTCAAATTTTTCTTGACTTGAGGGATTTTTGGGTTTGGTCCCAAAAGACTATCAATCACCGGCAATCGAAAGTGGTATAATGACATTTGTGTATTAGAATTATTATAGAAATAATATGCGTTGAGTACCATAATTTGAAAAATATGTATGCCTATTTTTTTGTACCACCTCATAGTTTTGTGTTCGCAACTATAATAATTTAACATCTGGTCGCCTAAGTCAATGCCACCTTTGTTTTTGTTACATTCGGCGACTTAACGTGGCTTTTCTTTATCAATTCCTTTCCTAGATATTGTTGGAACCATTTTATGACCAAATTCGGAAGAGATCATTAAAATATCTAGTTGATTTTTCCATTTACACACACACACATATTTCTTTATTATTGTAAGCACTCACCAGTTCATTTTGTTTTAATTTTCGAGAAGCAACTTCGTGTGGATTTTCCGCTCTTCCTGTTTTCAATGTTCCTGTAAGATAAGTTTTAACCGAAAGTAGTTTTTTACATAATGGAACACTATTATAAAAATTATCCATATAAGGAGTGACCAACATTTAGTCTCGAATCCATTAAATTTAGCACTACGTTTTCCGTATGATCACGTCCTCCAACTACGGGGTCACTGACTTCGCTATAAATTAATATGCCTTAAACGTCCCGGTACATTCTGCCAAAGTATAGTTTGACACCATATTTGTGTCGTTTGCCCTTGAGAAATTGACGAAAACTAAGTCTTCCTCTCCATAAAATTATAGATTCGTCCAGGGCTAATTTTCTTTCTGAATAATAAAGATTTACTTTGAGAAAGAATATTAACGGCATATAAATTGCTATTTTGAATAATCAGGTCATAGAATAATTCACATGCCAATAAATTGAAGTAATCAATAGGATTGCTGCCACCCATACTCAGTTTCAATCCTGGTATTGCTGTAAATGGTAGCACTGTAGGATGTTGAACCTCTAAAGATCATTCAATAATATTTCGAGACTCATCATCACCATCATCATCTTCAGATTCTTCTTATAAATTAGGATTGTCTGTCCGATCATCTTCATCACTATATAAATCTGCATCACTTGCATCACTGTCCTCATGTGAATATTCTAATATGTGTAATAATTCATCACCTGAGATTGACTGAGAAGTTTCCAACCTACCTCGTTTAGAAGTCGAAAGTTGGCAAAATTCATCACTCATTTTAAAAAAATAATTTAAAATTAAAGTATTTAGCAAAACACCTGCAATGGCTCACAGTAAAATCAAAAAACATCCAACATCGAAGGCGTAGAAAATATTACTGAATGCATAGCAAAATAAACCGATGGATTATAATATAATCTGCTGATTCTTTCAAAGCTTACCGATGCTTTTACTTTTATTACTTTATAACGAGCACATGTAGCTTGAATACTTGAAAAGTAAGCAATGAAATTGAGAATTTCATATTTTGTCATCCAATTTATCAATTGGGCAGAAGTTATTTGTTATAATTTGTGCAAAATCCGCTGAGATAACATTCATACATTGTCATATACTCAGAATAAAGTTTAACATCAAAATTCTAAAACCGAACACAAACTCCAGTCTTCTTCTTCTTCTTCTCGTGCCACTCCTAGCGGAGATTGGAAATCATCATGGCCACTGCGACTTTGTTAGCAGCGCGCCTAAAAAGTTCAATCGAACTACACCCGAACCATTCACGTAGATTACGAAGCCACGATATTTTTCTTCTTCCCACACTTCTTTTGCCCTTAATTTTACCCTGCATGATGTTTCTTAAAAGTTCGTACTTTTCACCTCTCACAATGTGCCCCAAGTATTCCATATTTCTAGTTTTTATCTCATTTTCAGATATTCTGAGAATGCGCCTATAGCACCACATCTCGAAAGCTTCGATGTTTTTTATGGTCAACTATTTTAGTGTCCAAGCCTCAACTCCATATAACAGGGTAGAAAAGACATAACACCGCAGCATTCGTATTCTCGTAACTCCAGTATATGCCAGTATTTCTAAGCGGCCAGCAGATATTTGTTGTAATTGAGTCGCCGCGCGACTCGCGTTGGTGGCCTCTGAGGCCATATTTACTGGACACGACAGTCACGTTGACGGACTTGAACGTGTTAATAAGTGACATTTTTAATTTCTGTAAGATTGTATCTAATATGTACAGTATTATTATGAAGGGTGATTCAAAAATATTATCTTTTACAATTTACTAATGTTTTTAATTAATTTAAAATATGAGGACTGAATGACACAAAACTACTGATTCTAATTGAGACCGTGTTTGACTTAATATTCGTATGTGTTTTATGTGTATGATATTAACACATCTTTAAAACATCTCGAATGTAACTAAATGAAATCTAGTTGTAAATTCAATTTTGCTACAGCAATAGCAGCGAGAAGTCTGAACAATAAGCGAAAAGTGAGGATACCTACTAAATTCACTAGATCATCTGAAAGACTGCAATATACAGTAGAAAATTGACATAAGCCACGGATAAATCACAGGCCGTTATGTTTCAAAAAGATTCGGCAGACCAGATCACCAAATAAGGATGTTCAACACAAAAATATACTGATCCAACCAAGCGAAAAATCTAGGAGTGATATTGGATAAAAAATTAATACACGCCACATATAACCAACATTATTAACAAATCCAAGGTACTAAGAAGTGAACTAAGATCTCACATAGGAAACAAAGCAGGTTAAGGCTGAAATCAAAAGGTAAGAATTGCAACAATTGCAATTGCAGTAATGGAGCCAAACATGCATGACCAGCAGGAAGAATATAAAATAGCCCAAAATCACATAACAACAGATGCTGTGGACATTACTAACAACGTTTCAGAAAGATTTATTTATAGGAACACAAGAGACGCATTTTGAAACAAATGGACAATGCCTACGAAATTTTCATTACTTTAAAAAATCATGCGAATATCAGAATAGGATAACCATAGGGCTGGGCCTGGTAAATGAATGTGGATCACATTATTTTTTAAGAAAAAAATATAAAAAATGCAAAAAAAATTATAAACCTAAAATCCCAAAAATATATATACCAGGTAAGTAAGTTACATACAGTTGGAAATGAATGTCTCACCTCTTTATTTATATATTACACTACTCCATATACTAATGAGTTTATTTTGAAGATAAACTAGCACTAGACACCCGCGATTCCTAAACATCGAGCTAGCATCTCGATAAACGCTCAGTGGCCAGACTTTTCGAGCAATCAATTGGCCGCTAATCGACTGGCACACCCAACCCTGGACAGAGAGCCGAAGATCAAGGTCTTTGGCTCGCTGGACGAGCCAAACAGCAATTGTTTCGACATAACAGTTTCTTCATCTTAAAGAATGCAACTCTGGCCTTCTCTATCCGTATTCTAATTTATTTGCTCACGTCCCAGTTCTCGTTTAGATTACAACCAAGGTAAGTGATATTGTTAGTTCTCTCCAGTTGTTCACCATAAGCTGTTACCACTTCCGGTTGTATTGGCGTTTTACTGACGACCATCACCTTTGTCTTTACGGTGTTTAGCTTAAGGTCATATTCATCACACGTTGTGTAATCCTATTAATTAGATGTTGAAGTTCTTCGTAATTGCTTGCAATTAACACTGTCATCCGCATATCTCAAATTATTAATATTGACGCCATTCATTTTTATACCACATTAAACATTATCCAATGTTTTATTGAAAACGAACTCAGAATAGATGTTAAATAGTAGCGGGGACAAAATGCAGCCCTGCCTTACTCCTCTTCGTATTTGAAGCTCTTCAGAAGTGTCCCGCCAATCCTGATGTTTGCACGTTGATGCCAGTACAGATTTTTAATAATGCGTAGGTCTTTATCATCAATACCTACCTGCTGAAGAATGACTATCATTTCAGTATGTTTTACTCGATCAAAGGCCTTCTCAAAGTCAATAAAACACATATAAACTGGATGTTCGACATCTCTGCATCTCTGTACCATAACCTGAATAGTAAATAGTACTTCTCTTGTTCCAAGGTTATTGCGGAATCCAAACTGTGTGCCACCAAGTTGTTTGTTCTATTTTTTGGTATATCCTAGAGTGCAAAATTCGTAGAAATATTTTTAAAACATGACTCATCAAGCTGATGGTTCGGTAGTCACTACATCTTTTTGCATTTGCTTTTTTAGGTATCGTCACAAAAGTCGAATATAAAGATAATTCCCTAAACTTTAAGCTACAGTTCACCATGGAGGCGAAGGACAACAAACAGATTCCATTTTTAAATATTTTAGTCAAACAAAAAAAACCCAGCTAAAAATTTGGGAACAATTTGAGATTGGGCACTGAGTGTAGAGAGTTTTCTAATACAGAAATTTACCTTATTGCATAGAGTTGTGGATTAGTATACAGTAGAATGACAAAACCTAGTGTAAATACTTGTTTAACTTAACACAAGACGAACTTTAATCATTGATAGAATATTACAGATTTTTAGAGAGGTTACAGAAATGCAAAAACACCCTATAATGATTGGGACCAATCGACAGATTCCGGAAGCACACGTACAGGAAGGCTATACTTAGCGCCGATATTCGAGTAAGATTATCAACGCTCGATAGACAGTTACGTCCGTTGCTGTGTTAACTTTAATGACTGCAATATTACTTCAGCCGTTTTTATAAAACTATCTTAAAAATCTATTATATAATATCTTGAGTCCTCAACCACTATATTCTACGCTTTTATCACGGGGTTTCCAAACATCTTCATTTATGCAAATTTTGCCAAACTAGCGAAAGCACAAAGCACAATGGAAGGACAGATGCTATGTTTCAAATTTATTTTCAAATTGAAAAAACTGGTTTAATCCATAATAAGAAAAAACTATGTGTCTACCTATTTTGGTGGTCAAGACGAAATCAAATACCTCAGTATAAAAAGCAATTGAAGAAAGGAGAGAAGAAATATTTGAAAAATGTATATATATATATATATATATATATATATATATATATATATATATATATATATATATATATATATATATATATATATATAACAAGTTTATTACAGCTGCCGCCGTTTCTCGCAACCTAGCTTCCAACGCTTGCGATCATTCCAGTCATCTACTTGTAGACCCCTATCTTCCATTGCACCTTTTACTTTTTGTCTCCACGATCTTCTTGGTCTTTCCTTTTTCCTGCGGTTGGTGGGGAACCACTGTAATATTCTCTTTGGCCATCGTTGATCATTCATATATTTATGGCTAACTCGATGGTAAACGAACTAAAAAATTTTAAAATAGAAGAAAGCGTAGATATAATCAGGTTATATTTATTATAAACGATATGACCTACTTCGTTTTCATACACCTTGGCGTGATAATGGGGCTTAAGCCATGTAAACTATTGTCAGGTACCTAGAACTGCATGGCAGTTCATATTAGGCTTTATATCTACATTGAGAGCTCTGAACTAAGGACCCTTATTTCTATCATAGTTATGGTATCACAACGGACCAAATCAATCAAAATCATAATAAAAAAACCAGTTTCAGAAGGGCTCTAAGTTATCACTTTGCTGGACATCCTTCAGTTTATTTACCACAACATCGGGACATAAAATAATATCTGAGAACGACTTCTGTAGCTTTAAAGTAAACACCGAGAAATTCGGCAACGCTTATCCTAAGCTCAAAGAAGAAAGTTCGGTAACATCAGTAGCAAAGTTGAAATTAGTAAGTTTATCGTACTGCGGAAACTTGGACCACGAAATAGGGCCAAAATTAGAAAAATGAAAACAGAAGATTATTATAAAGATATAATGGTGATTTAAAAGTGGGCAATGTACGGAGAAGAAGAACAAACAATGAAATAATGCAATTATATGGACAATTAAAAATAGAAAGACTTTTCAAGGGTTAGGGAGGCCTAGAAAGAGTTCAAGGGTTATGGAGATCCAGAATCAGGTTTCGACTAGAATGCCGAAAGGGAGAATACCTAAAAAATTAACTGAAACTAAAGCTGGCATAAAAAAAGTCGGAAAAGAAGACTTAAAGCTTCTAAAAGGCAAAGACTAAAAATGTAGCACAAGATAGGAAGAAAACTATTGAAGATATGTTTTTCTACAAATCAAATATTTCTGCATATCAAATATGTCTCTCCACTGTATCCTTATATTTTTACCCATCCAATTTTTTTATTTGCCGTACTAGTTGTTTTACTTTATAATTACTATATTTAATAGCAATTAAAATATAAGAATAACTCAATGCATACCTCATTTATTGGATCAGTGATGATTCCTTTGTATATCCACATTCCCAACATTTTCATATATGGATAACATGCAGCTTCCATCAATTTTAAACACAGAAGTTGAGCTCTTTCGTCTCCAATAGAACCACTTACATGATCATGAAGTAAACTTAAAACCTTTCCACCTTTTGCATCCGACTATAATAATAAATGTCAAAATGTATTACAATATTGAGCATAAATATATACAATATAAAAATAATATGAAACTAATAACATTGTGTCTTCAAGTTAATAGCTCTGATACATACCTTACTTATTGATGATGCTATGTTTGCTGCAATTCCTAAGCTCTGCATATTTCTTTGAACGTAAAACCATAGTTTCTGTATGGTTAGATTCTTCGATTGAAATTCGCTTTCCAATTGGATTGTAAATAACTGAAACCAATAAAAAATAATGTAAAAATTTCTAAACATTGTGATTTTTTTTACTTATTCGTTGTTCTTCGTTTATTAATTTTATGCATTTGTCATTTAATTTTTTTTATGATTTATGTGACAGTTTTATGGCGGTCAAAAAATCATTATGAGACAGGTAATTAATACAGTACTTTATAGGAGAAAAACCACTTACCATATGCTCTTTAATAATATTCTGCATGGCTTCAGCCAAAGCATTATTAACTTGTCCAAATTCAAACCTCATTTTTTCTTCTGTAAATCTCTGTATTATAGAATAATGGCTGGCCAAAGGTAATATCTGTTTAATAAGTTCTCTTAAAGAAAGCGGAACATTATCATTAATCCTAAAAGTTCTTGGACCATAAACATCTCTCAATTCTTCAGGTTCTATGTAGCATCCTGGTAATCCTAAAATTGTAAGTGTATTAAAACTATAATATTTAGGCCAAGATATGACGGTTTTCTGCTCAGAATTCTTTTTATATGCAATGGATTTGTTTTAAATTTTGACAGTAGGTAAAAAATGGGGATCAAAATCTACCCTATGCCAATATGTGCTTTTCCCTTGGGGGTGGTTACCACCCCAACTTGGAGGTGGAAAAAGTTAATAAAAAAAACCATGGTAGTCGCTAGAATAGTAAATTTTAAAACAAACGTGTTCTTCAGAGTTTTTTCATCAAGTGATTTTCATTTTCATTAAGTAATATTTTTGAGTTATTTGTGACTGAAAGTTCCCAAATTACACGTTAATAAAGCCGTTATTAAACGGTTTCCCGAATAACCTCAAAAAATTTAGATTTGATCGGGAAAACTGTTTGGATATAAAATGAAGCTTATGAAACAGAGAGGCTTGTTTGCATAAGTATGCTTGTCAGCATAACGGATGTTATTTATATTTTCACCATTTATCTTGATCCCTTGTGTACAGATTTCAAGTGCTTGCGTAAATAACTCTTTGGAATATAAATTAAATAGTAATGGTGAAAGTACACCGCCCTGTCTCACTCCTCTACTTATCTGTTGCGCATCTGTGCTATTTCCATTTAATGTTATCACAGCTTGTTGGTTCCAATAGAGATTTCTCACTATGTTAATGTCATTTTTGTCGAGTACTTTTCTCTTTAGACATTCCATGAAAATGTTATGTTTCACTTTGTCAAAAGCTTTCTCATAGTCTATAAACACAATGACAAGATCTTTTTGTTGGTCTCGACATTTTTGGGCAAAAGTTGTGAAACTATACAGAGCTTCCACTTTTCTGAAGTCGTTACGAAAGCCAAACTGTCTATTACTCATATCTGCTTGGCACTTTCTAAATATTCTTACATGTGTAATCTTTAAAGATGTTTTTAATAAGTGTGACATTAAGCTGATTAATCTATAATCATTACAGTGTTTGGGGTTCTTGGTTTTTAGTAGCGGAGCAAAGGTTGATAGCAGCCATTCTGTGGGTATCTCACCAGATTTGTATATGTTGTTGAAGAGTATAGTTATTGCACTTAAATTGTCTTCGTCTATAGGTTTAAACAGCTCGATATGAACTTCATCAACTTCAGATTTTGAGTTGTTTATAGCATGTTGGACTTCGGATTTCAATATTATTGGAGCTTCCTCGTTACCGATTTGTGTTGGTTCCGTTCTTATGTCCATGAAAATGTTTATTGTTTTTGTCAACTAATCAGTTAGGCGTATTTGATCGTGATTTTCCAGATAATTATTTCACTTTTTTATGTAAATTGTAATGATCATGCTGTTTCTGTAATTCTTCCACTTAGATGCATGTTCCATCATCCACTTTTCCTTAGCCTTTTTTATTTTGTTCCTTATGTTTCAGGAATCACAAAAAAAATGGAAACAAAAAATATATTTACCTATCAAGATATTCAGTAAATCTTCAATAAGGATGTTTTCTTGAGATACCACAGGTACTGTTGGTATGGACTGGTGAGAAAAATTGGGAGAAAAATCACAAGTCATATGTGGACGTCTCTGAACCCAGGAAATTACTGTGGGAGTATTAGCTAGTGGAACTGTTGGTGAAGTGTTTAAAATTGATTTTATAGAATCATCCTTAGTTGGTTTTTTGGTTACAGCTTTTTTTAAACGATTTTTAATCTAAAAAGTATGTAACAAGTTAATATTATTTTTGAAACAAGAAATTTTGATTAAAATTTACATGGGTATGAAAGGAAACAAAATACTCACTTTCAATGATTTGTTCAAAAGGAATAAGGGAAATAATTTCTGTGAAACTTTACAGTTTTATAGTGTTACCAGAATACAATTACTTGTAGACAAATTATGATATATTATTTTGAAGGTTTATATACTGTGCCTTGTAGTTGATTCTTCCTGACGTTTTTTCTTCCAGACATCATCAAAGGCGATAGATAGTGGAGTTAACTTGATGTCGCTCCTATTAGCAAATGTGTTTAATCAAATAAAATTTGTTCTGTTTCCTTTTCAGTATGCATGGAGACAGAGTTCTGAAGTAAATAGGGGCTCTTCTGTACTTCATAAAACACGGACAGGCGAGGATCCCCAATCCTGACTCAATAGCTGATAGGGAAATGCCCTATCAGCTATTGGATCAGGAAAATATGTGAATAAGGTTTTACAGAACATCAACCAAACCCCAGTAGAAAGAGTAAGGCACTACAACTACCTCGTCACCATAATAAATGAAAAATAGACCAACAACCTAGAGATAAGCTAGATCCACCTTAAACCAGATGAGGGCCTTCATTAAAAGCCAAAATCTCTCACTTGGTATAAAAGTAGGAATGCTGAGATGTTTTTCTCTGTCCGTTTTTATTGTGTTGAACCGTGGACCTTGAATGAAGATATGTGCAGAAGATTGGAAGCATTTGAGATGTGAGATCGGAAAATACTTAAAATCCTGTGACCAAGTCACAAATGTGATGGTTCTCAGAAGAATGAAGAAGATACTTATCATCATCAAAAGCGAACATCATCTTGAAAAGCAACAGACCTTCAGGACACATAATGCGAAATAAATCCTGATATGCCCTTCTACAAGGAAAAATATGTGGAAAGTGAGGTCCAGGAAGAAGAGAATTCTGTTTTAGAGAACCTCAAAAGATTGCCATGACAGTCGCCAATATTTGTTACGGATATGTACACCAAAAAAAGAAGAAGTTCTTACCAAATAAGCATCTATGGATCAACAAAGGATATGGCATGGGTGAACAGCTATTATTAGTGACTCAAGGCTGAAAATAATTCATCACAAGCTTGTTAACACACATTTATAGGCTACAATCAAATATGGTATCAAGCAGTTATGAAATTGTGGGGCAGAAAGCAATGGGAAACTACTACATTGACCCTCCCATGGGCATTATAAAATGTTATCTATTAAGTATGACACCTCTGGCAATGCAAATGAGGTTGGGCACTGTTCCGCATCCAGACACTGTGATATGGACTACTGGGCATGTATATGTGGAACACTAGGCACTGCATGAAAAACCAGCTTCCAGTGGTGATAATAATTTGATTAAATGATGACATAGCACCTGCTTAGTCATTTAGGAATAAATGTGCTACACACAGTTAAGTTAGCAATAATCAGTAAAGGGCTAATAAGATCTAAAATAATGGTGACAGGTTTAGCTGAGACAGGCTAATCCTGGATAAGGATATTTTTATCATGACGATTATATGGCTCGCATTCTTCATATTATTAAAATACAGTTCAATTGAATTTGTCTCAAGTCATAATATATCATAAAATAATCTTTAACTTTATTCTTACCTGTGGCAAATTATCTTTAGTTAGTTCTGTGGAAGGAGACATTGAAGGTCTATTGCTTTTTAGCAAAAGCTCCTTTAAGCTATGATCTTGTGAAATTTGATCCAATAATTGCACAAAAGCATCCAAGGAATCAACACTACAATTGCAAAAAAATCAATCAACTCAATTATAAATATAATTAAATAAACAAATAAACCAGTATTTTAAAGATTAATATTTTATAATGAGTACAGTAGAACTCCAATTATTCATGTGTGAATTATTTATTCTATGATTTCCCATTATTCAAATGGCATTTTTGTGTATTTGTTTTCAAAATAACAATAACCAATGTTAAATGTAAGAGATATGTTTTCACTCTTGAACAAAAACTATAGATTTTAAACAGAAGTAAAAAGTGGGAAAGTATCTCATTATTAACACAAATCTATTAAGTGGGCAGGCAAACAGTATTTGTTATCAATAAAATCAAAGTAAAACTACAAAACAAATCTCAATCTTACTCTTTTAAAACACATCTGCATAGAAATCATTAAAAGGATTGAATTTTCAACAACTCAATAAAACACTTTCGAAGTTTTTTCTGCAGAAAATGTCAGAGAAAGTACCTTTCTTTGGGCTAATGTGTGCTAAGCAAGCAGAGATTTTTCATGAACACTTGAAAATCAACTGGAGATCATAATTACAGAAAATAATATACAACTTTTTTAAATTAAACATACTGGCGAAATAGTGTTATACTGGAGAGCAATGCCTACAAAAATCATAGCTGCAACTGATGATATGAGTACACTGCAGTATAAAAAAGTAAAGACAGTGTTGTCTTGTGCCAATGCATCTGGCAGCCACAGACTGAAGCTGACTGTGATTGGAGTCAGCTTCAGTCATTGGAGAAGTAAAAAAATCATCTGCTTTTAAAAACTGAAAACCAATGAATCTCCCAGTTAACTGTTATAACCAGCAAGCTGTCTGCATATATTGCAACATCTTCCAAGATTGGTTCCATAAAAAGTTCATTCCTGAAGAATTCTTATTTGAAGAAAGAGAAGCTGGTGGTCATCCCAATGAGGCAGCCCTGACTATGAAAATTTCTTTCTTTTTTTTAGCCAATATTACATAAATTGATTAACCAATGGATCAGAATGTTCCTGAGACAATGTACTGATGAGAATTTATGATGAACTTTTTGGTGTTGTCTGATAAAATTTTGGGAATTATTCACCATCAAAGATGGGATTATTACAGTGATATTATATATACAGTATATTTGTACTATATATCTATGATTAAAACAAAAATGGCAAACTTTAAGATCTGAAATTTTTGGATTCTACAATTTTGTCAACTTGTAATGAGCAAAAGTAGTTCTAGTAGATACATTTTATATCACCAAAGATAAATTAAAAAGGGGATTGCAATGTCTCTATATGTTGTAAATCACTTTAAATCATCACTTAAAATAAGATTAGAGAGAAATATCCCAAAAAGATAAGGACTGTTTAAGAATTATTGTAGAGAAGTTAACAATATAGAACATCAATTTGGATACTACCTAGAGAAATGTTTGACTATAATTCCAGCAGAGATATCAAAACTTTTTTCATGGTCCATGTAATATGCCAGGAAAAGCTGTATTGTCATCTACTGGTGCTCTTACCCTAAATAACATTAATCTTTCTTAAGTTTGTGGTCATTTAATAGATAATATTACCTACTCTTCTTATAATAGATAATAGTACTACTCTTCATTTAAAACTAATTGATTTTTTGTACCTACTTTTTGTCTTTTAGGTCATTATATTTAACAAGAAAGGCTTGTGCTTCAGGAATATCTTGAGAGAGCCGGGATAAATGATTCTGGATAACTACAGAATATCCTGCAGAACTTGTTGTTTCCCGTGCTTGTAAATACTCTACTAATTTATTAGGATTTACTTTGCCCCTAAAACATAAATTAAAAGTATTTGATCAACTGATATTATAATGTACGTACCCTAGACTATTCAGTAATTCTGCCACAATGTGTTGCAATTTAAATTCACTCATTGTTTTGGATAAAAATACGTTTTTGTTGGGTGGTTGTTATTAATATTATTTTACAAGTTTAAATCAAATCCAAAATCATAAACAATTTTTAGCTGTCAGTGTCAACGTCAAAATGAATTAATTAGTGACACTACTTTTTTTCACTACTGCCAACTGATTTTATGTCTTCATAATAAAGCTGGATTCACTTCATTGTTGCGTTGGTTTTCTCTGTCTTTGGTTTGATACTTCTTTTGTTTTGGGGTTTTGTCATCCTGTTTTAGGCTTTTGCCTCTTCAGGATGTGGTTCTTGTCTTTTTGGTGTTGGCTTCTGGTTCTTTTTCTTCGTGGTCCACTGGTGGAGTGCAGCCAGGACAATCAGTGGAGAAAGGTAGTGGTCGGTTCTTTTCAGAATTGTTTTCTAAAAAAAATATTAGTGAATAGTTAGTGAATGTTAAATTAGTATATGTACAGAATGCAATATTAATATATGTATAAATACATGCATTAATATGTTAAATTAGTAAATGTGTTAAACGCGACGCGTGAGGGCAGCTGCGGCTGTATCCTCAAAATAGACAGGTATCATTTGCAAGTGGGATCGGGAAACCGCAGAAAACCGATCCCCCCCTGTCTAGGCAAGCTCGAAGTGAGCAATTTAGCTAGGAATGCGACGGAAATAGAGGGGAGTTGCCTCCTGTATGTCAATGTATTCATCAGGGAGTTCGTTACTGGCGAGTTCCAGTAGAATTGCGGGGAGGTGTGGGATTTTGGGTTTAGGATGTCTGGTGAATACATTGCCGCGGGAAGAGCAGACAGTTTTTAGGATGCGTTGAGCTCTGAGGTTTTGGCTCCGGATAGTGCGTGTAGTATAACTTCTGCTCAGAGAGTGTAGTCTCTCATTTAGGGGCTGGATATTAGATAGTTGATGAATGAGGGCTGAAGGGTAGTCGTTGCGTCTGCCATTCACTCTACGCAGAATCCTCCGCTCTAGACTTAATAGGTTTTCTTTGACTGATTTTGATATTGTAGCATAAATATTTGATCTGTATTCAAAAATAGGTCTAATAAAAGTTTTATAAGTGAAAATTAATGTTCTAGAGTGCGTGGCCCCGAAATTACATCTCAAACTATTGAGGAGACTCAATCTGCTCCTAGCCTTAGCACAGGCTGTGCTCAAATCGGCCCTCCAATTCAAAGTTCGTGTGAACTTTACACCGAGGTATTCGATCTGATCACGGAGTTGGAGTTGATCTCCCCACAGCGTGAGATAGTTTCTTTCGTTAAAGGAGGCCGCGCGTACACTGTGATTAGGGTGTCTAAAAAGAATCATTTGAGTTTTGTTCGGATTCAGGGACACTCTCCATCTCCTGCACCAGTTTTCAACTAGTCTAAGGTGATCTTGAGCATACCTGAGAACAGAATCAACGTTCGTTGCTGTAGTTACCAGAGCAGTATCATCTGCGTAAAGTAGAGTGGTGGTTCTGTTTCGTGTAGTATTTGGGAAGTCGCTGTTGTATATTGTGTAAAGTATGGGGGCCAGTACGGAGCCTTGTGGTACTCCGGCTGTTGGAGTAAAGGAATCAGAGAAATAACCACGTTCCTTAACTCTGACCAGACGTTCAGAGACGTATGATTGGATTAGTCTGACGAAAGGAATTGGTAGTCCAATGTTCAGTAGTTTCTTGATCAGTCCCACATGCCAGACTTGATCGAAGGCTTTTTGAACATCGAGGAAAATACCTAGTGCGAGTTTGCTGTCGTTCAGACTTTGAGTAATGTGTGTGACAATCTCAGTCAATGCCGTATTAGTAGAGCACCCTTCTCTAAAGCCGAATTGAAAAGAGGGAATGATGTTGTGTTCGTTGGTGAAGTCAATGAGTCTTTCTTTTAGGATCCTCTCAAAGACTTTTGCTAAAACATTTGTAAGTGAAATCGGCCGATAAGAGTTAGGATCTGTGCGGGGTTTGCCCTTTTTTATGAGCATAATTGTATTTGCTACTTTGCATTGAGATGGGAAATAGCAGAGTTTGAGAGTGGCATTGACGATATTTGTTAAATAGAGGTAGACACTCGGAGGAAATTGTTTCACGCAGCTCCTGGCAATGTTGTCAGGACCCGGTGAATTCGATTTGCCGATATGACAAAAATTTTTGAAAGTTTGTTGATCCACCGGTGCCATGATGGGATGGTCATGCGGCACCTGAGGATCGAAAGGGGCGCCGAGTAGTCTGTTTACATCTCTTTCAGTCTTAGTCAGGAAGGCGTGGTCAAATCTAGGATTATTAGGTGAGATTAAAGTGTTTTGTAAATGGTTTTTAAAGGCTTCGGCCTTTTGTTGATGTGTATTAATGATTTGATTGTTCACAATAATGTGAGATGGATTATTGGTTTTTTGTTTAGTTAGGCACTTGAATTTATGCCAGAACTTACCACCGTCACGGAAATCAAGACTAGAGGTGGCTGCCCGCCATTGTCTGACTTGCATCTCTTTCACCTGTAGTTTGATCACCGCTGACATGCGGTTATATTCTGCTTTGATAAGGGGGTTTCGAGTGCGTTGAAACTGACGTAGGAGTCGTCTCTTATGTTTGATATTATTGATTATGTATTGCGGTAGAGGTGGCCTATTAGGGTTTATAACCTTATTAGGGACTGATATATCAATTGCTTGATTTATCAGATTTGAGATGGCCGTGATACCTAAATCGATATCATCTGTGTGTGCTAAGTTGCCTAACTCTGGAATGTTATTTGACAGAAAGGCTCTGTATCGGTCCCAGTCAGCGTGCCTATAGTCTCTTATTACTTTGGGTGGTGCAGGAGGGGTGGGTGTAAATATATGTTCTTTAACCAGCAGAGGTAAGTGATCCGACGTGATGGAGTCACCCAGAAAGCATTCGTCATCTAACAGATCGATCACATCATACGTACATACAATATGATCGACTATCGACATGCCCTGGTGACCCACAAAAGTCGGCGCACGATTACGGATACGATGAATAGGGAGATTAATGAGCACGTCCGAGAAGTCGTTACCTGCGTTATTTGTGGCGGTGTCGCCAAATTGAATGTGTCTGGCGTTAAAATCGCCGAGAATAATAGCCTTATTGAGGCTGGAGATATAATCGAACAAAATCTCGGACATGTCCTGATGAGGATGTTTGTAATAAGAGACTATTGTAATTGTCGTGTTATTGTCTAGGTGGATGTCCACTGCCAGGAAGTCAACATCATTGAGGTTCAGGTGCATAGGTGTAACATGAGGGGAAAAAGGGATACCGTATTTAATAAGGAAGCCAATACCGCGAGATATTTGGCATTTAGGACGGTGTACCGTGCAGTAACCGGGGAAAGTTGGATCAGTTTTTGAGAGGGTGTCGGTGAGGGCTAGGATTTGGATATTATGATGTTGAAGGATATGTTTAATAAGGGGTCGCCTATTCCGAACACCCTGGCAGTTAACAGCACCTATTGAACTGTCCATTAGAGGGGCAGGAAGGAGATGGAAGCTCTGTTGTTATGAGGCACAAGAGTACTCTTGTGGCCGAACATCAGAGTGGAGATGCGGTTGGTAATATCCAGGATAAGCTGACGCCTATCTGGAAGGAGGTTAATAAGGATGAGGGAAGTGAATTCCATCACTGCCTTCATGTCTGAAGACAGTTCGTAAGGTGGATCTCTTTTATCTGTAGTTATGGGTTGTGTTTCTTGCGGGGTTTTAGGTATTTCCCTTCTGAGTGGGCATTTGGCCGAATAGGCCGCATGCTCACCACCACAGTTAGGGCATTTAGGGGCTTGTGGGGTAGGGCAGGAAGAGGATTTGTGGTCTTGACCACAAGTAGGGCACCTATACTGTTTTTGCGGGCACTCCGCAATGGTATGCCCGTTAGCACTGCATTTGGCGCAATACTTGGGTACAGGAGGAACGGGATTGGAATTAAACGGTAGTTCCACAGTCATACGGAGGCCGTCAAAGTACACGCCCCTGGCGAGCATCTCCGTGTATTTAGATTCACTTGAGGTGATCAACTTGACATAGGTGGTAGGTTTGTTCTCTCTGGAGATGATGCGCCAGAGACGTATGACAGGGATATTTAAATTAGTGAACAGGATGGTTAGTTCGGCGTCAGAGTAGATTCTGTCAACTCCCTTGACGACCACCATATAACCGGGATTGTGAGTACGGGTAGTGGTATTTTTGTGGTTGATGGGTTCGTATTGTGCTTCGGAGAGATCTGGATTTTAGGATCCCCGACAGCATCACGGAGTCGCCGTTGGACATCAACGTGATTTATCGGGTGAGGTGTGGTAAGGTGTGCGGTACCGGTGGGTAGGACTTTTATAGTGGTGATTTGGTTAAGAAGTAATTCTCTGGTATTAATGATTCTGAAAAAATCACGTTGTGTGGATTTTTCCAGAGGGATATTGGAAATAAGATAGTTAAAGTGTTTTGGTTGTTGGGAAGTTGTTTGAGGATGCTGTGGTTTAGGAGAGTGCGCTGCAGTAGCGTAGGAAGGGATTTGTTGAGGGATGGATGTGTTTGTATGTATACTAATTTGAGGTGTGAGTTGTGGTGTAGGTGTAGTTAGTATATTGGTAGTATGTGTGGTGGATGTTTGCTGGTGTTGGTGTGCTAGGGTATTTGTCGGTGTAGATGAAGGATTGGCGATAAGTGAGGACCGGGACAGCTGCAAACGCGCGATCAACCGGTCGATTTGGTCTATGGGGAGGGTAGTCACCAGGTCCTCGACGAAACTGTCGGTGGCGACGTTCATCTTCGGAGTGGTGACGTTAGTATCAGGAAAATATAGTGTAGGGATATTGTAGGTGAGAGGAGTCGGTAGTATGTATTGATTTGTTGGTGAAATAGGGATCGGTGATATAGGTTTTTGAGGTAATGGTGGGAAGTCTGGTGTATTAGCGTGTGTTGTGTCGTTGCTGATGTTGGATATAATCGAATGATTGTGTACGGGAGGAGGGTCAGGAGGTTCAGCAGGACGCGGCTTTGACCTATTTGAGCGGGTCGAGCGCGGCATTACGACAGTGGTTGGCTAGGCGTACACCCAGAAGACACCCTTTTTCCTATAAGCTGTGCAATGTATAGGATGGCGGGTCGCCGGACTATGCTTACTATAAAATGAGCTGTCGGTCCCCCGATGCACTTCCTTGTATACCACTGAGGTTTATATGTGTATTAATT